AATAATGTTTAATAATATTTAATAATGTTTAATAATGTTTAATAATATTTAATAATATTTAATAATGTTTAATAATATTTAATAATGTTTAATAATGTTTAATAATATTTAATAATGTTTAATAATATTTAATAATGTTTAATAATATTTAATAATGTTTAATAATATTTTGTGTAATGGGTACAGTGTATTTGTTGGGGAGAATATTTTTGTAGCTGTCGCTATTAATTGTAATTAATTTTGTTTGGTTAGTTAAATTGTAAAGTTTAAAATTCAATGTTAAATTAAAAATTCAATAATAAACATTTTGTACAATACATAAAATAGAACTGCAGAAATAATGAATATTTGTTCACAAAAATATTCTAAAGTGATCTGCCTATTTGATGAAAGAACACAGATTAAATTTTTTCCTTGAGACACATTAGAGTACATATAATATAAACCAAAAAAAAGTGAAGTATAAATAAATGAATATAATGACTCTCAATGTATCTCAAACCTTTCTTGTCCAGTAACATTTTGGTATTTTCTCTTCACCAAGTATTCAAACTACTTTGATGCGTTGATACATTAAAGCAATCAACATTATTGAATAATTTTAGTTTCTGTATGTGGCGAGTAAAACCTGCAAATAACAAAGGTATTATATAAAGTTTAAACAATGTTTCAAATTTTTTAAATATGTAACAATACAGTTAACTTCATTCTTATGGAGAGAGGACAGAATACTTCACTTTTCTTATATTTTCCACTTCTGGCTATGGGGTGGACAAAAATAGTAGAGTATTCTTGAACTTCCCCGTTTTAGCTACGAGCTGACCAAACCTAGTCGCAATACATCACACCGGTCTTACAATTAGCCACTGCACTTAAATCATGCATTCATAACTAATTGTAGAGAATTTTATTTGAAACAGTATATTTCATGACAACTCACAATAAAACAATGATCAAATCAAACAACGCACACATTTATATACTCAGATGCTATTGTTTCACTCGCACACTTTCTATTTGGAATATTCTTGGAATATGTTTGGAATATTTGGAATATTCTAGATTCATAAAAAAATGAACATTATTAACATAAAAATCAATATAGAGAAAATCAATATAGTCTAGAATATTCCAATGCTTTGAACATTCATTCAAAACGCGCTCACATACGTCATTCATCTATTGTACACATTCGAATACATCCATTCCCACATTATTATTAACGCACAATACTTAACTCGTAATACAAATTACACTTTTTGTACTTGTGCCAATGTAATTTAAACGACTGCACATAATGAAAGTCGAAGAAAATAAATCAAATTAGTAGGAAGGTAATATTACAAAAATACCATCGCAAACAAATCAGAGCAAAGATAAAACAAAGAAAATGTTAAAACTGAAACTTTAAAGCTCCGTTCAAATAAAAATACACTGAATGGAAGTTCGTCACAGATGTTCACATGAAAATTTTAAACATAATACTTCACAACTTAAACTAAACATTTTCTAAATAAATAATCTTTTATCATGAAACATTCTGAATGCCAAAACATGACAAAAATTAATCTATAAAATATGAACAATTCATTATTGTCTAGCTCACCTAACCTCACTATTTAAATCTGATTTACAATAAAAATTTTTAAATTCCAATTGAATTTACTGCACAGGTACATTGATATTAAGAATGTTAATTCGGGAAATTCTGAATGGAAAGTCGAACCTCCGTTATCCGACTTTCACGTGATAAATGCCAGCAACGAGGCCCCCAGTAAAATAATCTTTTATATCCCCTAGAAATGAAATACAACGACACAATGCAACGGCACCAGTTGTAAAGTGTTCCGCGGATTACCGGGGATTACCATAGCATTTTTCGTTCCCATTCCCCAGCGGCCGTTTCGCATCCACTTGTAATTCCGAACTTTTCTCGTTACACTTTTCCGTTGGTTTTTTCCCGGCGCAACTCCTTACTCCACTTTTTCCTGTTTTATGCTGCGCGTACCTCAACGTATGTTTCTGGCAAAAAATTCAATGTGTGTTCTTTCGTGGAATGAAAGGTTATGTTGCTATGTGTTGTTGGTGGAATAATTTTAACGATTCAATTTTATTCTCATTTTTATTATTTTTAGTATTTTTATCTTTTGTGAATGTCCGTCTTTATACATGGTGATTTAATGAGATGTATGGGAGTATTTAATTTAATATCGTTCAATTTAATAATTTTAATGGAAAATAATTTTGATAATTTAACTGGGTTGAAATGGTGAAAAGTGTGTTTTGACAGTGAATTGCTAAGATTGTGCTGAGTAAAATGAGCCCAAACACGATGGGAATCGGACTAATTTTACTGATTTAATGTAATTGACGAAACTAAAGGCTCGTTCCCATGAAATTGTAAAACTAGTCCGATTTCCATCGTGTTTGGACTCATTTTAACGAGAAAAATCCCACCAATCCATCTGTACTACAATTGAAAAGATAAGATTAAAATTCTTACAACTGACAATAAAAAATGTAATAAAAGACAAACAATTAAATAATAAGAAATTTAATAAAAGATGGAAAATTAAACAAAAAGAAATGTAATAAAAGATAAAAAATTGGATAATAAAACATTTTATAACATTTATAAGATAAAAAATTAGATAACATGAAATTTAGTAAGAGATAAAAAATTAGGTAATAGAAAATTAGATAAAAGATAAAAATTAGATAATAAAAGATTAGATAAAAAGAAATTTAATAAAAGATAAAAAATTAGATAATAAAAAATTTTATATAAGGTGAAAAATTACATAATATGAAATTTAGTAAAAGATAAAAAGTTGGCTAATAAGAAATTAGATAAAAGATAAAAGATTAGATAATAAGAAATTGAATAAAGAATAAAGAATGAGATAATAAAAACTTCAATAAAAGATAAAGTATTAGATAACAAAAACTTCAATAAAAGATAAAGTATTAGATAACAAAAACTTCAATAAAAGATAAAGAATGAGATAATAAGAAACACAATAAAAGATAAAAGATGGATAGTAAGTTCGCTCGTTTGCGCGTGGATATCGTATGCTTCCCGCGGGAGCGTCGCTTCCGCGATGATCTTGTGTGCCAAGTATCACCGACACCGATAGTAACGGGTGACCAGCGCAGAACAAATTGACATGCGGCCAGCCGGCCCGCATAACTGTGGCCGCGCGAACCGCAGCATTCTTCCAGCGGATTATCATTATCGGCCTTCGTGGTACTCAATGAATACCCAATGACTCGACGGACACGGCGAGTCACCTACGCGCGGGGACGTCGTCGAGCGATCGATGAAAATTACCGTTTGATTAACCCCTTGTCGTGTAATGAATCACGATGATTTCTGGAGTAATTTTAGGGACAATGGTGTTTGATTGTTGGGGATTAGAGGGAGTGTTTTGGTATTGGTGATTTGTTGTGTGGAGGTGTGTGATGTATTGTTTGTATTTTGTGTTATATTTAATATATTGTATGGAAAATATTGTTATATTGTGTGTATTATATTTAATATATTGTATGGAATATATTCTCATATTATGTGAGTTATATTTAATATATTGTATGGAATATATTGTTATATTATGTGTATTATATGTAATGTATGGAATATATTCTAATATTATGTGTGTTATATTTAATATATTGCA